ACTGAAGAATCTTTATCAAAGCATCAATTGTATTGTGATACTCACGATTCAGTACGAATTGAACTTCCAAAACCAAATACAATGATTAAACTTAATCATTTTAAAAAAACAATGAGAGTACCTTTTGTAGTCTATGCTGATTTTGAAAGTATTATTAAACCTATTAATACTTGCGCACCTAATCCAAATGAATCTTATACAAAGCAATACCAAAAGCATACACCTAGTTCATTTTGTTACTATATTAAATGCTTTGATGAAAGTGTATATCAAAGTAAACTAGTTACATTCACTGCAAGTAATGAAGATGAAGATGTAGCACAAAAATTTGTTAATATGCTTGAAGAGGATGTAAAAAAGATTTACAACGATTATTTAAAATTTCCAAAAAAGATGATATTTACTATGAAAGACAAAAATAATTTTGATAATGCAAAAATATGTCATATTTGTGAAAAAGATCTTAATGAAGATAGAGTACGAGATCATTGTCATATTACTGGAAAATATAGAGGTGCTGCACATAGCGATTGTAATTTACAATTTAAAAATCCAAAATTCATTCCAGTACTATTTCACAATTTATCTGGTTATGATTCTCACTTGTTCATAAAGAAATTGTCAGAAGGAGGAAAAATAAATTGTATACCCAACAATGAAGAAAAATATATCAGCTTTTCTAAAGAACTTAAAGTAAATGAATTTATGAATAGAGAAGGTAAAAAAGTTGAAGTTAAACTGTATCTACGTTTTCTAGATAGTTTTAAATTTATGGCTGCTAGTTTAGATAGTTTAACTAAAAATTTGTCAAAAGATCAATGTAAAAATATTAGTAGATACTATTCTGGAAATGAACTCAATTTATTGTTAAGAAAAGGTGTTTATCCTTATGAATGGGTTGACTCTATTGATAAATTAAATGAAACACAATTACCACCAAAAGAATCATTTTATTCAAGATTAAATGATGAAGGAATAAGTGATGAAGATTACTTACATGCTCAAAATGTATGGAAAGAGTTTCAATGTAAAACATTTAGAGATTACCATAATTTATATAACGAATCTGATGTATTACTACTAGCTGATGTCTTTGAAAATTTTAGAGATGTCTGTTTTAACAATTACAAATTAGATCCTGCTTGGTACTATACAGCACCAGGATTAGCTTGGGATGCTGCTTTGAAAATAACAGAAGTAAAATTAGAATTATTAAGTGATTATGATATGATCTTAATGATAAAGGAAGGAATAAGAGGTGGAATTAGTATGGTTTCTAACAGGTTAGGAACTGCTAACAATAAATATATGGAAAATTATGATGAAAGTAAAGAATCTACTTACATACAGTATCTAGATGCAAACAATTTATATGGATGGGCAATGAGCAAACCACTTCCTACACATGGATTTCAATGGATGAATGAAGAAGAATTAAAAAATTGGAAATTTACTTCTTGCATATTAGATGTAGATTTAGAATATCCTGAACATTTACATGATGTTCATAATGATTATCCTCTAGCCCCTGAAAGATTAAAAATAGACAAAGTTGATAAATTAATACCTAATTTAAATCATAAGAAAAATTATATCATACACTATGAAAACTTAAAACTGTATGAAAGATTAGGAATGAAAATAACAAAAATTCACAGAGGAATAAAGTTTGAAGAAAGTGCATGGTTAAGTAAATACATTGAACTCAATACAAATCTAAGAACAAAAGCAACAAATGACTTTGAAAAGGACTTTTTCAAACTTATGAACAATTCAGTATTTGGAAAGACAATGGAGAACATTGAAAACAGAGTTGATGTAAGATTAGTTACAAAAAGAGAAGAAGCTATTAAATTAGCATCAAAACCAAATTATGAAAGTAGAACGATATTTGATGAAAATTTAATAGCAATACATATGAAAAGAACAAAACTAGTTTATAACAAACCCATTTATTTAGGCATGTGTATTTTAGATTTGAGCAAAACACTAATGTACGAATTTCATTATGATTACATAAAAAATAAATATGGAGATAAAGCTAAACTATTATATACAGATACAGATTCATTAATCTATGAAATAAAAACAGAAGATTTTTATAAAGATATTTCTAATGATATTGAAAGTAAATTTGATACAAGTGAATTTAATAAAGATCATCCAGCTGTTCAAAATGGATTTAAAGTTGGAACAAATAAGAAAGTATTGGGAATGTTTAAAGATGAATCTGTAGGAAAACAAATTACAGAGTTTATTGGACTCAGATCAAAGTTGTATTCTTACAAAATAGATGAAGAAGATAAAAAGAGATGTAAGGGAGTAAAGAAAAATGTAGTTAAAAATTATATAACACATGAAGATTATAAAGACTGCCTGCTTAGCAGGAGAGATCAAATGAGAAAAATGAATGTCATAAGATCTCATTTACATGATGTTTATACAGAAGAAATTAACAAAATAGCACTCAGTGCAGAAGATGATAAAAGAGTTATTTTAGATGATGGAATTCATACCCTAGCATACGGACATTATAAATTAAAATAAACATATATGTAAGTAATTTTTTTATTTAAAAAATCTTAAACTATTAATAAAAATGAATAAAAGAATCAATGTTGAAGGAATCATATTACCAAATGTACCATTAACAAACTTTCAGTTAATAAAAGCAGTAAAAAAATTAAAAATTAAAAATTTTAGAGGTGTATTTGTAAGAGATGAATTACCTAGAAGCTATGGATCTCAAAAGGGATCTAAAAATACACAAAAAAAAGAATGTGGAATATTAAATACTGGAGATTCAAGTACAGGTGGGTTTCATTGGATTTGCTGGTATAAAGACGGAGATATGAAACTAAGTTTCGACTCTTATGGCCTACCACCACCAGTTGAACTCGTTCAATACTTACACAGTCCTGTTTACTACAATACTGAACAAGTTCAGTTTGGAAATACTTCCTATTGCGGACACTTGTGTCTCTATGTCTTGAAAAAACTAAATGATGGAAATGAATTTCAAAGCATCATCAATTCACTTTGGTGAATCTTAAATATATTATAAAAATAAATTAAATAATAATGAGTATATAAAATGAGTATTAATATATTCGGTAGTAGTTCAATGAATGGATTATCTGCTTTTGGTAGCACATCAGGTGGCAGTTTAAATCTTAATATTAATGTAGACAATAAAGCGACTTCAGACGTTGATCTCAATACACATAAAATAATAAATTTAGCTGATCCTACTAATTCACAGGATGCAGCTACAAAGAATTATGTAGATAATAATCAGATTTCTAGCAGTGCATGTCTAAAATTAGATGGAACTAATAGTATGAGTGCTAATATAAATTTGAATTCACATAAATTGATTAATGTAGTTGATCCTACTAATGCACAAGATGCAGCTACAAAGCATTATGTAGATAATAATCAGATTTCTAGCAGTATGTATCTAAGAACCGATGGTTATAATCCCGCAACTGCTAATATAAATTTAAATACAAACAAACTCATCAATGTAGCTAATCCTACTGATGCACAGGATGCAGTTACAAAGAGCTATGTTGATGATATGCAAAATCAAAGTTTAGATATCATTCCCAATACAAGTTTAATATGCTTTGGACAAAAATCTCAAGCATTCTATGCAACTCCAGGATCATATACTATTTTTAGCTATAGTGGTAGTTCAGGAATTCTAAGAAAACTGTGGATTGCATTTACAGGATCTACTATTGCACCTAATACTGTACCAGGTAACTTGTTTTTAAAAATATATGCTGACAATGTACTTTGCATAGGTAATGATTCTATTGTAACAGATGGTGTAGGTATTAATAATACAGCTTTAGCTTGTGATTTATTAATTGCACCACTTGGTGGATCCTATTATGCAAACTCTTTACAAGGATGTAATGTATTTAGTACAAGTGCATTAGGAGGATATTTTACATTTGATCTTCCTTTTACATCAAGTTTGAATATACAATTATACAATAGAACAGGAAATTCAGTGACATTTTGGTTACAACCTTTTATCACAAGAACTTCATCGTTACAACAAACATTAACTAGTATTAATCCGTTAATACCTCGATCTATCTCATCCATTAAGTTGTACTCAACAACATTTAGATATGTAAATACAACTTATGGTAGTGAATATATGCTAATGAATGTTATGGATAATGGAAACGGAGTGTATTTGAAATACATAAGAATGCATGTCATTGGAGGATCTGGAAACTGGTGGGAATCTAGAGTTCGCATTTATGATGGATATGGTGCTCCTACCAATACTAACTCTGTCATTCAACCTTGGACACCTTATAATAATAATGGATATACTACATTTTCTGGATATGATGTTAACAGTCGATGTATCTACGCTTCATCAGGTTTAGAAGATTTTTATCTCTCTTCATGGAATGGATCTAATGTAAGCTCATTTAATAATGAAGTATCAGGATTGTTGAATCAATCAACTAGTACAATTGGTCCAACAACTACAATTTCATTTTATAGAAACTTTAATTCATCTGAAAGTATGCCTAGCGTTGGTATAGGTAGAAGAATGGTAGTGACACTCAACTCTGGTGATGCACAAGTTGGACAATCTGGAAGCTATGCTGCACTGATAGGACAATGCTTCTACTATGCATAAGATCACTCTGAATATCACGTGACCTGTGACGTCACGCAATAGAAACGAAATTGATACTAATTTTTTAGCGTAGCATTGATCACGAAGCGACCTAAAAATTTATTTCTTAGTTATAATATTTATACACACTATGAATGATAATGAATCATATATTTTAATTAAATATATGATTGAAAATATAGTTGAAAATGAAAATGGCCCAGAACTCTCCTTTTCTAACTACTAATGAGCAAATATCGTCATTTTCTAACTACTCATTTACCAACTTGCAAACTTTTATTAAACACTCATTATAATAAAATAAAAACAAACTATTTTTACAAAAATAGTTACCCGACTTGTTTAATTGTTGCAATATTGAGCAAAAAATCAACAGAGTTCAGTTCGTGTGGTTTCCATTTTAAAACAAATGGACACTGACCGGGTGTATAAGGCTAAAATATTTAACTCAAACATTTATTATAATTAATGAAATTCTAGATTACGAAATATATTTTACTTAAAATAAATTTCTAACATCCTGAAGTGGTTGAAAAATCAAACCATCTGTTTCATGTGGAATTTTGGGAACTAGTTTTTCAAGAACCTAAAAAAAAAAAAGAAAAAAAAAAAAGTTATTAAATCCTAATCAAAATAAAAACTTTGATAAAAAGTTTTTTTAAAAAAATTAAATAAAAACCCCTCTACCTACCCATATTGCTTTTTCACATGGATAAAAATCTTTTTTACGAATTGCAAATGGCTCTTTACTTTTATCTAATCTACCAGCTTGTGCCTGTATATAAAATTATAAACAGATGAAACAACTTAAACAAAAATGGATTTTAAATTTGGAAAAATGGATTTTAAATTAAAGAATAATTAATATAATGTAAAAATAATTTTTACGAAATAGATCATCAATATATATGTGTAAGCGTGTGTATGTGGTGTGTGTATATAACATTAACAAAATGTATGTATATATATATTTACACATATACATGTATATAGCTATATATCTTATACTGCTGAGTTAGGTGAGCATGATGATGTCATACTCACCTAACGTCAAATAGCCTGCTGCCGGGGGCTTCAGTACATATATCGACTGACAAATAGCCTGACTCGCAGTGGAGTGCTGCTACATCGACTGAGGGTTTGGTATGGGTCAGTAACCTTTTCATTCATTATTCTTCGTTTTCCCTCATCGTTTTCTCAAAACGCTCACTTAATTTATACTAGCAAAAAAAGTGAGCAACTGCGCATATAAATATGCTATAGTAGATATATATATCTATATCTATATCTATATATATTAGGGTACCTCAGAGAGTTAAATTTAACTCTCGTTAAATTTGGTGCAAATATATAAAAAATAGGCTTTAAAACATACCGGTCACCTTTTGACCATTCTAGACCCTCCCTCAAGGCTCATTTTTGTGAAAAAAATGTCAAGTTTTTTGTCAAAAATTGCTGATTTCTGTGACGTTGAGGGAGGGTCTAATATAAACCAATTTGGCTGAATTAAAAAAAAAAGCCTACATTACATATATTTTTCATTTAAAATCATACGCATATTTATTTTGTTTTATTACCCAGCATTTATTATTTAAATTATCCATAAATTTGCAAAATTTATGACTTTTGTTGTGATATTAACAAAGCATTTGAAGTACAAATACATTTTTTCTAATATAATAAAAATGTTTTTTAGTTAAAAATATTGTACATTGCTTGCTACTTGAATTAGTTATGTATTTGAAGGTAACTTTCCCTCCCTTTCCGCGTGCCACTTCCCAATATAAAATAAATAGCGAACCATTAGACTTCATGCTCTTTTACTAAAGTTTCATATGAATTTATTTTTAAATAAAAAACAATTAATATGGAGCCACTACATTGATTTAAAATTTACATTTTTAATTTTTAATTTTAAAATTCAAAATAAAAGTTTAAGTAACTGAACAAGTATTGATTTATCAAGATATTATTTAAGATTGAGTTATCAGAAACACAAGATTTTGCGCAATAACAGTTTGAGATCTAAAAAGATTTTTCATATTATCAATAAAGCTACGCCTGCTATTTCAGGTATGTGTTGCATAAAAATAAAAATAATGTACAATCATCGATTCGGTATTATGATATTTTGTATTTATCTGAAAAGAAGTCATGGTCAGTTAAACACATTTTTATCTCAATATTGACACCAATCCATCACACTATTATACTCTGTAAGATAAATAATGCGCACTTATTTATACTATTTATATAGTATTGGTAATACTATTTTATTAAAAACCTATATGGTTTAGGAAAGCAACTTACAACGGGTATGTATATCTTCAACATTTTAAATATTGTCAATCAAATTTGCCAAATGGAATTACAGAAAAATTGAATATTTTATATTGTCCTCCATAGTCAAACTTAAAGGTTGATAGATATCAACTAGTTGAATGTGAATGTATCATGGGGAAAATAAAACAACTATGGATTAATGCAGGGTTTCCAGTTATTAGCGATGTAAATATTCGAAAAAGTTTTAAAAATCTTGAGCAAAAATATTCCAATTTATTAAAGAATGTCAAAAGAAACTCAAAACAAGATATTAAAAATCAAATGGGATTTGAAATTTTTGTTAAAAGTATTTTTTGGACAAGAATTCTAGAACTAAAAGGTTTCATTCAAAAATCAAAAAGGTCCAAGATTATATCATTTGGGTCCTATAGACACTAAATATACTAAGAAAGTAAATTGACTATGTTATGGTTGTGAGAATTTGCATAGTGTAAGTTTTATTTTTTAAAGGTTTAGGTAGTTTTGTGTCAGATCTGAATTAAATGATGCTCTAAAAGGTAGATGAACTATTGAGTTACTTTACTATATGGCGTGAAGCATTAGTATATAAAATATTGATTTAACTAACTTTATTTTGTTTTTGAACTTACACTATGGTACAATATGTAAAAATTCGGGCCAAAATCCCTAAAGATATTATATCCGGAAATGTTGCTTTAATGCGAACTGTTAATAACATCTCTCCTATGGTTCTGCAGAGAACTGCAACAGCGGTTTTTCAAGCTGCAGGAGTATACATGAATGCCATCAAATTAAGTCTCTCAACTGCAACTTGAAGAGTGAAAAGAGAAAATAAAGAAATTTCAAATATTGCTAAAAAAGATATCAAAACACAAGTACGTTTATCTAGATTCCCATGTATAATTCATTTTGATGGAAAAACTATATTTGATACAATTAAAGGAAAGAAACAAAAATGTGAGCAACTAGCTGTACTAGTAAATATTAATGGCAAATCACACTTGTTGGGTTTGTCTTTTTTTTGTTTGTCTTTATAGTGATTGTCTCCTTTTCAGGAGACAATCACTATAAAGGAATAATCCAGTTGCTAGATGAATATGGTATTAAATCATATGTTGGTGGTTTGTGCATTGACACAACAGCAACAAATACTGGCATTACAAAAGGGACTGTTGATAGAATTACCTATGATTTAGGTAAATACATTCTCCAGCTTGCTAGCAGGCACCATATTACAGAGCTTAGAACTAGTATTTTCTGAAATATGTCATTCATAAAGAAAAGGTAGGACCAGAAAATCTTTTTTTTAAAAGATTAAGAAATATGTTTGACAATCCAGAGTTTCTTTACAATCCTGAAAACATATTAAGGTTTAATTGGTCATTAAAAGGCTGGTACTTAGTCAAAAAACACATGCACTCTGCATAGTGTAGTCAACACATGCAATTGAATATTGAAAAAAATACATTAAAAAGAAAAATATTGCAAGGGAAGACAGAAAAGAACTAGCAGAGCTTGTAGTTATTTATTTATTGAAATCAGGAATTGTTAACATAAAAAAACCAGGTGCAATTCATCATGCAAGATTTCTTAGCTTAGCTCTTTATTATACAAAGTTACATCTGCTAGATTTTTTGATAAAAACTAGATAAAAACTTTTTTGGTAAATATATACTTTTGATAAAAACTAGATATTTTGATAAAAACTAGATTTTTTGGTAAATATATACTTTTGATAAAAACTAGATATTTTGATAAAAACTAGATATTTTGATAAAAACTAGATATTTTGATAAAAACTAGATATTTTGATAAAAGAGAAAGACGTTAAAGCTCAAGTAGAACAAATTGTGGAATTTATTTATAGTTTTTATGCTCTATGGTACTTGCAAAGCCACAATTCTATTAAAGCCTCATACCTTGATATTACAGCTCTACATCAAATGACTCTGTATAAATATGTTTTCCAAGTAAAAGAAGCTGTAGATAAAGTCATTGACTCAATATTAAAACAATCTTGGTACTTAGACTCTACTTTGATACCTCTTTCGCTTCTAGATTATAAAGTTCTTGATAAAGATAAAACACTAATGGCCAAATCAATTTTATTTTACAAAATACCATCTTTAAAGGCATTTGATTACAAAATTGAAAATAAGCAGAAAGTGAATATTAAAAAGATAATCAACCTAGATAGCATAACAACTTGTAATCCACCAAATTTGGCGGTGTTAGTTAACGAGTTTCCTACTTTATTTTTGCAATAAATGGGTTTACAGAAGAGATAACACGTGATTGGTTGTCACTTCCACCATCTTTCTGACACACTCAATCATATTACAACCGGTTTTTAGCCTATGCAAAAACTTTGATTATAGTTAACAATCATGCAGAAAGAAATATAGGCATGATGCAGGAATTTATCCAAAAAATACATTAGTGAAGAAGAAAAACAAATGAGACTGGTAACCATAGACAAAGTTCGTTATGCCATGAAATAACCTAAAAAAAGCTCCAGCAAGATGACAAAAAGGAATATGGAAATAGGTATAAATAACATTAGTAATTTCAAGAAATTCAAAAGCGATTAAAAAACTTTTTTTTATCTTTTGTAGGCTTTTTTGTAAGGTAAATAGAAAACCTAGTTTTTATCATAATTGGCGTGAGTAACTCAGCATAGCTAAGGAGAGATCCAAAGAAAAATATAGTGTTTAGGCCCTTTTGTTCTCAAAAAAAGCCATTTTATTTTGTGTGCATTTTGATTGGTTTATTTTTTTTTTAAAATCATGAAGCTTGTTGTTTTGTTTTGTTTACAAATATTTGGTGATTTTATTATCTACAAGTTTGAAGTTCCAGCTTAATACTATGGGGCAGAAGTTATATAAAAACTGAAACATTTCTGTTTAGTAATTTATTCAAACGACTATAAAGAGATGATGGAAGTAAATTTATATTAGTAAAAACTAATGAAAAAACCTCGATTTTAACTTTTTATTGAATATTTTAATGCCATAAACAAGAAATCTTTTTAATTTTGAAATAAAAGAGACATTTTTAGAATGTAAATACTTAACACATTTGTTTCAGCTGTTTATGACGCTGCCTCGTCACATTTTATGTATTTTAGTGTTAGTTTTGTTTTGCTTGATGCTTTGGTTAAAAAAAGATTTATAAAAAAATAATAAATTATAAAAAAAAGCTTAAATTCTATTTTTTTTAAATATATAACAGTAATAGTCGAAAATAAGCAGAAAACACAAAAAATCAATGTTTAAAAATTTTGGTTTTTCAAAATGCAAATTGTTTGGATCTCTCCTTAACTATGATGACAACTTAAAAATTGATTTTGGCATAAAAACTTCAATCAACTTTTAATTAGGGGTCATCCATAAAGTATGTACGCTCATAGGGGGAGGGAGAGGTCTTCAAAAAGCGTAAAAAAGCATATGGGGGAAGGGGGTTCAATTTATTGTTTTTTTAATTTATCATATCGATTTTTTAAGTTATCACAATTAACCAGCTAATCAATAGAAAAGTTAAAATTCTGACTAAAGATCCTAGTTTGCCAACATAAAAAGATGTTTGGTATAGGGAGTAGAGGGTATAGTTTCCCTCAATGCACACACATGCATGGGGGCCCGCAGGACTTTTTGATGTTCCTGATAAGACACTTTCACACATGGTACAAACTCCAAACTTAAGTATGTTTATACCTATACCAAATGAGGAGGCCTTGCAAAAAATTAAAAAGGCGTAGGACTGGTAGCAAAAAAAGCATAAAACGCACCCCTACCCCCTTCTAAAATGAGGGGGGTGTAAAGTTTGTATGGTCATAACTTTTGTAATTTACAATACTTTTCTACGAAGTTTAAAATCTGTCAATATTTTTAAATTTAGTTTTAGATGGGAAATTGTAATTTACAATATTTTTTTAGGAAATTTAAAATCTGTCGATAAATTTAAATTTAGTTGAAGATGGTAAAGTTGAAATTTTACTACATTTGTGCATGCTTAGGGGGAGGAGGGGGGGAGTGGAAAAGCGTTTTTGTTCCCAGGCCTCCACCATCCTATTTATTTGTAAGGCCTCCTCATTTGGCATAGTTATTTATTTATTTTTTATTATAATTTTTTTTTTGCCATATAAATCTATTATAGTCGTAAATCATAATATAAATACAAATAGCAAGGGCAAGAAGAAGACATAATTGGTCTTATCACCAAGTTATAGTTATACTTGAGTTTTAGAGCTTGCACAAATTTGACACATTTGACATAGGCATACCTATGTTTGAAGCTTGTGCAAGCTCTAAACTTAAGTATTTCTATGCCAAATGTGTGAAAGTGTCCTATCTAGAATATCAAAAAAATCCTGCGGGCGCCCATGCACACATGCCATCCCTTATATACTGGCTATTTTTTGAGTCAAAAAACAGGTTTTAGCAGTGCAATGGCCAATGGGTCGGAGGCTCCCTTTAAAAAACATGTCATTTGGGTCTTAAAATCTCCCGAATTTTACCGCTAGGTTTTGCTAAAATAAAAGCTCCTTAAATTAGTAAAAGGGTACACAATTTTTTAAATTGGGAATCTGTGCCGCAAACTTAGAGCTCTTGGGTCATATAAAGTATCTTTTTTTTTTCCATAAACTTTTCCATTGAAAAAAAAAAAATTGAGGGGGAAAGGTGACACATGACCATTAACACTGGGAAGGGGGCATGTCCACCCTCCCTCCCCCTTTTTTTATATATAAAATTGAAAAATGACCGCCTCTTAATATGAAGACCGGTTTAATGGTTATATTAGAAAAAATGTATACTCCAAATGCTTTTTTAGTATCACAACAAACTCACCAATTTAGTGAATTTATGGATAAATTGAATAAAAAATGCTTGGTAATAAAACCAAACAAAAATACGTATGATTTAAAATGTAAAATATATGTAGTCTAATTTTTTCTTAAATTCAACCAACTTGGTTTATATTAGACCCTCCCTCAACATCACTGAAATCAGCAACTTTTGACAAAAAAGTTGGCATTTTTTTTGCAAAAATGAACCTTGAGGGAGGGTATAGAGTGGTCAGAAAATGCCCGGTATGCTTTAAAACCTACTTTCTATATATTTGCACCAGATACATATTTTTGCTTTGAAAATTCTCTTATTCTGAATCACCCTAATATAAATAAATAAATAAATATATATGTGTATATATATATATATATATATATATATATATATATATATATATATATATATATATATATATATATATTTGTATATATATATATATATATGTATATATATATATATATATATATATATATATTTGTATATATATATATATATATATATATATATATATATATATATATATATACAGTATCATACAAAACAAGTGCAACCAAATAATGCTAATTTAGTTTCTTTATATAAAGTTTCTTTATATAACTATGTAACTGTTTAGAGACAACATTCTTCAAGTTTTATTCATCACAAAGTTCATTATTTGTACACAAAAATTAATAAATTAATCAAAAGTATTAAAAAAAGTTGATTTCCTTCTGGACAAAACAAGTGCAACTCCACAAAATGTTGACCAAGCTGTATTTCGCTATCAATAATTTGTGGCGAATCCTTTGTTGTCGATCACAGCCTTGCATTTTCGAGGCATAGATTCGATCAGGTAATCAATAAAACTTTGTGGAATCGCTGCCCAGGCCTTTTGGATTTGTTCAAACAGTTGATCCTTATTACAAACACCTTCACGATTAATTCTGCGGTTGACAATCTCCTACAGCTTCTCGATAGGGTTGAGATCTAGAGATTGAGGTGGCCAATCCATCACTGATAGGTGGTTGTCTTGAAACCATTGCTTGACTAATTTTGCAGTGTATTTCGTATCGTTGTCTTGCTAAAAAGCCAATTTTATTGGCATATTCTATTCAGCATGAGGTAAAATATCATCTTTCAGGATATTTTTATACATGAAACGGTCCATTATTCCATAAATTCGATGTATTAAACCTAGACAGAAAAACACCCCCAGACCATTATATTGCCTCCACTATGCTTCACGGTCAACATAAATCGAGCGTTTTCTGGCCGGTCGACATACACCGCAAATGCCATCACACCCGATGATGTTGAGCTTCGATTCATCACTGAACAGGACAGTTTGCCATTTCTGCACATTCCAGTCAATATGAGATGTAGCACACAGGAGTCTTTTCTTCTGGTTCTCTAGTGAAATCAGCGGTTTCTTTGCAGGGCGTCAAGAAAACAATTCGGCTTCAACAGCACGTTGTCTGATTGTTCGGTCTGATACAGGCAGCTCTAATTGCTTTTGTATCTTAACTGATGATATCCAGGGATCCTTCTTGACGGATCTGATCATAGAATCCTCTCTAGAAGTAGTGGAACACAGTCTTACACCTTTGTTATCTGCTGCCAAATTCCCCGTAGAACGATATTTGAAACATAGTCTTGATATGGTTCATTTCTTCATGCGATATTTATCACAAATACTTTTTTGTGACATTCCACTTATGTAATCGCCAATAATTTTCTTTCTTAGTTCCAATCCAAGACTGTTGGAAGCTATTTTCCCACCTGAAGTCATAAAAATAATAAAAATAAATAATCACACATCTCAAGGCTTACCGTGTTACATTTACCTTGTGGTGATATAATAATGCTCTGTGGAACACGTCTTGGTTGGATGTGGAGTGTATTGATGTTATGAAACACTTGTTGTATTTCACTTCTTGTATTGAATTTCTTTGATAAAACACTTCGATAAAACTCACTTCGATAAACTGTCTTGATAATACTGACTGATTGACTTCCATATACTGACTGAATTACATGTTGGTTTACATGTCTCATATAGTAAATTAAACCTGTGTGAACTTGTTCTAGAAGATACTAGATGCTTCTTTTCAATGCTTCTGGAAGCTTCTGGATGCGTCTGGATGCTTCTGAATGTTTCTGGATGCTTCCAGATGCTTCTGGATGCTTCCAGATGCTTCTGGATGCTTCCAGATGCTTCTGGATGCTTCCAGATGTTTCTGGATGCTTCCAGATGCTTCTGGATGCTTCCAGATGCTTCTGGATGCTTCCAGATGCTTCTGGATGCTTCCAGATGCTTCTGGATGCTTCCAGATGCTTCTGGATGCTTCCAGATGCTTCTGGATGCTTCCAGATGCTTCTGGATGCTTCCAGATGCTTCTAGATGCTTCTGGATGCTTCC